ATAGTCTAGACGACTATCATTTCTATGGATATCGTCTAGACGACTCTCAAATCTAGGGATATTGTCTAGACGACTATCATTTCTATGGATATCGTCTAGTCTGCTTTTTAGTCTAGGGATATAGCCTAGACTCTCTCAAGTTTAGGTATATTGTCTAGACGACTATCAATTTCTATGGATATAGTCTAGACGACTATCATTGCTATGGATATCGTCTAGACGACTCTCAAGTCTAGGGATATAGCCTAGACGACTTTCAAGTCTAGGGATATTGTCTAGACGACTATCATTTCTATGCATATCGTCTAGACGACTCTCAAGTTTAGGTATATTGTCTAGACGACTATCATTTCTATTCATATCGTCTAGACGACTCTCAAATCTAGGGATATTGTCTAGACGACTATCATTTCTATGGATATCGTCTAGACTACTCTCTAGTCTAGGGATATAGCCTAGACTCTCTCAAGTTTAGGGATATTGTCTAGACGACTATCATTTCTATGGATATAGTCTAGACGACTATCATTTCATTCGATATTGTCTAGACGACTCTCAAATCTAGGGATAATGTCTAGATGACTATCATTTCTATGGATATCGTCTAGACTGCTTTTTAGTCTAGGGATATAGCCTAGACTCTCTCAAGTTTAGGGATATTGTCTAGACGACTATCATTTCTATGGATATCGTCTAGACGACTATCATTTCTATGGACATCGTCTAGACTACTCTCTTGTCAAGGGATATAGCCTAGACGACTCTCAAGTCTAGAGATATAGCCTAGACAACTCTCAAGTTTAGGGATATTGTCTAGACGACTATCATTTCTATGGATATCGTCTAGACGACTCAGGTTTAGGGATATTGTCTAGACGACTATCATTTCTATGGATATAGTCTAGACGACTCTCTAGTCTAGGGATATAGCCTAGACGACTCTCATGTCTAGGGATATCGTCTAGACGACTATCATTTCTATGGATATCGTCTAAACGACTTACGTTTCTAGAGATATCGTCTAGACGACTCTCAAGTCTACTGATATTTTCTAGACGACTATCATTTCTACGGATATAGTCTAGACAACTCTCATGTCTAGGGATATTGTCTAGACGATTATCATTTCTAGGTATATTGTTTTGACGATTATCTTTTCTATGGATATCGTCGAGAAGACTCTCATTTCTATGGATATTAGTTTAGACGACTGTCGTATCTAGGGATATTTTCTTTCTTTACATCCAAAACAGAATGGCCCATTATTTATTTTTGCTAAATTTTGAATTAACTTATTGATTTACTCATTAAATAATTTATTAATTAACAGAAGAATATGTAGAATTATACTCACATCTATTCACAGAAGCTCATCATGTATTTGACCCGCAGTCTTCTTCTGATCCTTTTTTCTTCGATATGACATGTGCGTGTAAAGTTCTCGAAATCCTCTTTCCTCATTATGTGTTCAAGTTGTCCGTTACGGTCCAAGCTATGGGTCAATTTTTAACACCCCCAAGCAAAAACAATTTTCCATACTTATTTATAATATAATTACAAACAATATCAATTTACCAACAATACATCAACCCACACGAAATAATTCTTTCATGACATTAATCCATATAATATCCTTCAATTTCTTAAAGAAATCAAGCTCTATCCCAAAATATAACTTGAATAAAACTATAACATAAAACACTCATATGACCATAATTATGCCACGAAAACATATATATGCGTAAAAGCTGAGTATTATCTACAATGTATTCAATTGTGAAAGCAGAATAACATATATCATATTTTACTACTTCAAAGCTGCCAAGAAAATTAAATTTCGGCATTAAATGACCAAGAAGAAGTTAAAAAATGCATTAAATAAAATATCTCTTTCTAAATATGAATATAAGTGTCCTTTTTGTTTCCATTTTTCATTAAGACTTTTTCATTGCTTACGCGTTCCATCCATGCTATTCTCAACATCTTCCTGTAGGGCGACATTTCTGCTGTGTCCAATCTTCTCTTCATCTTAATAATAATAATAATAATAATACCTTTATCAAAATACAAGGACCTTGAAATCGAAATCTCAAAAATGTGGCACATGGGTACATCAACAATCTCCGTTGTAGTTTAAGCTCTCGGATTGGTTGGGAAAGATTCCAGTAGACTAATTGAAGGAATTCCTGGAAGTCCATGCCTTAAAGAAATAAAAAAATTGTACTCACGAGTACAGCCCACACCTTACGAAGGGTTTTATCGATGTAAAACTACATGTTGTGTTTGTTTGGGTTTATTTTGTTTTTTTTTTTACAGTGGAAAGTGTCATCATGCCATTTCTAACCTTAGGTCCCTAGGCGGGACCCAGAAAGAAATGAGTACACATCAGAAATCAAAGGAAATAATAATAATAATAATAATAATAATAATAATAATAATAATAATAATTTAGTCACACCGGGGGCACTGCCATATCCAACCGTCTGAGTATCCGACGTGGAATCTTTCAAGGAGACTCTCTGTCACCCCTTCTGTTTTGTTTCTCCTTAATCCCTCTTACACATGAACTGAACAACAGTAGCTATGGTTACAAAACAAATAAGAAAATATTCAATCACCTACTCTACATGGATGATCTCAAACTCTTTGCCAAAGACGACAATGAGTTGAAAGGCCTCCTCAATATTGTAAAATACTTCAGTGACGACATAGGTATGGACTTCGGATTAGATAAATGTGCAAAAGTAACTTTCAAGAAAGGTAGAATTACAGAAAAACCCTTAATAGATTTAGATTTTGTCACAAAAGATTAGGGAACTGGAGCATGGTGAAGCTTATAAGTACCTAGGAATTAGCGAAGGAGATGGCATACAACACCCCCAAATGAGGAAAAAAAATAAGAAAAGAATACTACAGGCGTGTACGTCTGGTACTAAATACTGAGCTAAACTCAAAAAACAGGATATCAGCCATAAACACATTGGCTGTCCCTGTGGTGCAATACAGCTTTAATGTCCTTAACTGGACCATAGCTGAAATTAAGCGAATGGATGCCAAAACGAGAAAGCTACTCACTTGCTATCGCATGCATCATCCCAAAGCTGATGTTGATCGTCTGTATGTGCCCAGATCTGAAGGAGGCAGAGGTTTAGTTCAACTAGAACTGTCCTACAAAACTACAACAATTGGCCTCCAAAGATATTTGGAAACTACAGAAGACTGGATGATGGTATGCGTCAAGGAACATGAAAGTAGTAAGCGTCTTTACTCCGTAATGAAAGAAGCCAACAAATTCAAAATGGAGTTCCAAATGGGCATAGAGATGCAACTACAGCACAATACACCGGCTGAAACTGCAAAATACCTAAAAAAGATAGCTAAGACGAATGCACCCGACCAGTTACAGAAGCGATGGCAAGATAAACCGCTTCATGGCCAATACTCTGCCCGTACCAAACAAGCTGACGTAGACAAAACCCGTACCCATCAGTGGCTACGTAGTGCAGGGTTGAAAGCGGAAACTGAAGGTTTTATCCTTGCTGCGCAGGACCAATGGTTGCTAACTAGGAATTATCAAGCACATATACTAAAATATTGTGTCAGCCCAAAATGCAGATTCTGTGATAAATATCCAGAAATGATTGATCATCTTGTATCAGGTTGTACGGTGTTGGCACCCACTGAATATAAAACCCGACATGACAGAGTGGGCCAATATCTGCACTGGAAAATCTGCAACTTCTACGGGAAGAAAACTGAAAGAAACTGGTATAAACACCACCCAGACCCGGTTACGGAGATAGGACCTGTTACAATTCTATGGGATTACACAATACACACTGACAGAACAATCAAGGCCAACCGGCCAGATATTGTTATTAAAGACCACAAACAAAAAACGGTGCCTCCTTATTGATATGGCAGTCCCTGTTGACTGCAATGTATCTTTGAAGATATTCAAAAAAGTTGTCAAAGTACAAGGACCTTGAAATAGAAATCTCGAAAATGTGGCATATGGGAACATCAACAGTCCCTGTTGTGGTTGGAGCCCTAGGACTGGTTGGAAAAAGATTGCAGTAGGCTAATTGAAGGATTCCTGGAAGTCCATGCCTCAAGGAGATACAAAAAATTGTTCTGACAAGTACAGCCCACACCTTACGAAGGGCTTTATCTATGTAATTTTTTTTTTTTTTTTTTTTTTTTTTTGTCAGTGGAAAGTGTCATGACGCCATTTCTAACCTTAGGTCCCTGGGCGGGACCCGGAGAGAAATGTGTAAACGCCAGAAATCCAAGGAAATAAAACCAATAATAATAATACCTTTATTAAAATACAAGGACATCGAAATCTCAAAAATGTGGCACATGGGAATATCAACAATCTCCGTTGTAGTTGGAGCCCTCGGATTTGTTGGAAAAGTTTCCAGTAGACTAATTAAAGGAATTCCTGGAAGCCCATGCCTTAAATAAATAAATAAAAAAGTTCTCACGAGTACAGCCCACACCTTACGAAGGGCTTTATCGATGTAAAATATGTTGTGTTTGTTTTGTTTTGTTTTTTTGTTTTTTTTGTTTTGTTTTTTTTTTGTTTTTTTACAGTGAAAAGTGTCATGATGCCATTTACAGCCTTAGATCACTTGGCGGGACCCGGAAAGAAATGAGTACACATCATAAATCAAAGGAAATATAATAATAATAATAATAATAATAATAATAATAATAATAATAATAATAATAATGTTAACTTCAGCCTTTGTGGGAAAATGATGAGACGTCAAAATACGTCTTAAATAATTACGTCAAGCGAACACAAAGTTAGTGTTAAAATAGATTCAGCAGGAAGGAGGTTCTGATACACTTTGAATTGTTCAAATGGGCCTGAACGATGTGAACAAAGGATTCCAGCAGAAACTAGAGACTATTCTTGAAAACAAAACAAAACAAGATACGTTTGAGGCTTTCATACCCAAAACGACCTCCTCATCCATGCGGTAAGTGCGCATCTAAAGAAGGAAAAGACGATAGACAACATCAAAAACATAGTTGGGTGACAAGGCAACCAGCTTAAAGCTGAAAGGAATAGAAACAATGGTGGAGGGGGGGATACAATGCCTAAGCCGGATAGCTAAAGAAAAGTTAAAACATGGAAGTTGGGACCGTGCCATAATATACAAGACTAGTGACTAGATCTGTTGAAGAATTCAAACTGTCCAAGTGACGATGATGCTTTTGTCTACGAGGTTAATGGAGAAGGCGCTGGGGGATTTGTGGAAATGTACTCTTTCATTCTCTGTGCACATGCTGACGGGACGTTGTTTTGCAGCTAAAGTGACGGTCGACTTCCTTGCCTAGCAAAAACGACTGTTCTATTCCAATGGATCTTTCTGAAAAGTCACTTGTTCATTGTAGCGTTGCTTGGTACAAGTTTGGCCAACTTCTGTCAATTTATAATGAAACGTTTCCGTTGTCGCTTACCAGACGTAAACAACATTAGTAAATTGCGTTTCAGTTGAGATGTTGAAAAATATATTGAACATATCCACGACATTCTTTGTTACGGATTCTTGTAATAAATTTATCTATATATAAATATATCTTCTTTTTTTCTTTGCCAGTGACTCTCTTGGAGAGAAAAAAAAAACTGCCATTTTTCTGTGTCGAACGAGAGAAGAAAGACTAGTGTATGAATGATGATTGATTATCTTTTTCTTAGGTTCACCTGAAACTGTTTTACTTGCTTCAGGAATTTCCCCAAAACTCGTAAATTATGTAGTTCACTGCGAATGGGTACACAAACAATAAGTATTTAAGAAAATTTCAAAGTTATATCTCAGATTTCTCTAACACTGTGCAGAGAAGGGGGGGTAAGAACTTTTGCATCGACCGAATACATGTACTCCTAACGATATGCCTAAATATTTAAACGTCATTGTAAAATCATAGTATATAAGTAGTTCAACTGACATATCGAGATCACGGCTATATCACGTTGAAATACGATCGCCGGTTAAGCAACCACGAGCCTAGTCATAACCTAGATGGGTGACCGCTTGGGAATACCGCGTGCTGTAAGATTGTATGTATGATGTAATCGATAACGGCTCCGAATTGTCCCAGATTTTCGAATTGCTTGATCAGCAAAAGTTCTTCGTAACTCTATCGGTTAAAGGACGTCGGATTTAGCGACGGATCCACCTGCCGAGCGGACGCAGGTTCGAATCTTGCCGGAGAGCGTATACATTTCTTTAATAAGATTTCCCGAATATTCAGCTTGGTAGAGGAAAATAAATAAATATACTGTTTAATAAAGAAAATGGATATCTATTCACTTACGACATATCCATTTAAACAAAGATTTAATATGGTCAAATATATCGGATTAATGAATAAAAAAAAAAATCCATTACTTCTTTAGAAATTGCTTTATTCACGTTTGGATATGAAACTGAGCAAAGATGAAAATTTCGAGACTCCATGACGAGCAAGATTTCGCTTAAAGGCAATATTCAGCGTTGCTTGATCGGTAGAAATTTCTTCGTAGCTGAGTAAGTTAAAGCACGTTGGATCTAACGCTGGATCTTTCTGCCCTTTTGGTTCGAAAGTGTTATATTGGAATAAAGCGTCGCTGGCGACACTTGAGTTTGAACATAGATCGCCGGTGAGCAAAACACAGGCGATCCCATTATTGAATTCAAGTAGACTACGTGATCATAGAGGAAACGCATATATGTAAGAAGTGGCTGACGATTAATGATCGCTATTTTTCATCTATACTCTATTTCTATGTTGATTTACACCTCTATTCTATCCTCTATTACTATACGGACCGCTATTCTCTACTCTATTCACTATACTATTTCTCTATTCGGATCACTATACGAATTACTATTAGGGCGAGTATTATCGGGCAAGTACTATTAGTGCGAGTGCTATTCGAAGTCGTCTGACACCAGTATTATTCAACAGCGTTACTATAGTCTCTACTACAACGAGCATTATGAAAGTGACAATGAGTATTCGTTGGCATTACAAAAAGGGCAACGAGTATTCGTTGACATCACAAAAGAAGCCAATCGTTTTTTAATAAGATTTCTCGAATATTCAAACCCGGAGACGAAAATAAATAAATATATTGTTTAATAAATAGACGGAGATTCTATACAAATATAGGTGTCCACTACAAATAACATTTAAAGTAATAAAATAAGAAAACGTTAATTAGTGACGTCAAATTGATTTTTTTCATTCTCGTTAGGTAGGTAAGCAGTTTTATCCCTCTGTCACTACCCCACCTCCAATATGTCACACGTCAAATTATCCAAGTCCTCTTTGCTCGTTGCATGTTTCAGAAATGTCAACTCTTTCTGATTTTAAGTGTCCTTTTCCTCGTTTCATTTTCTTTAAAACTTTCCCGTTGTTCAAGTGGTATTCTCAATATCCAGCCCCATCTCAGTTTGCCTCAGATTTCTTCTTCATCTCTGAGGAAATTGTCCATCACCCAACAATATATAAGAGGATTACAAATGTATTCGATGACCAATTACTTGTATCCGTTTAGGCGTGTGAAAAGGAAGAAAAATAAACAATCTTCAAACACGGCTCTACAAATTTATGTAAATTTTATTATGGAGTATTTGTTTTCATTCAAATTGAAAGGAATGAGTTACAATGAAGTTTTTCGAACTCAAATTCATAGAAAAATATTTTTGTTTTTCTTTCTTTACAATACAAACAAATCGATTGCCTTAGAATGATATGCCGTAAAACAAAATAAACCAAACCAAAACAGACCAAACCAAAACAGACCAAACCTTGTCTTTAACGCCTGTTGTATCTCAAGTTCACCTCCGACATCAAGTAATAGCTGGCAGATCGTATCCCACCATGCCTGTCTGCTAGGACGGCTAGGCAATCCCTGTTGCAGACACCTGCTCTAGCACATTTCTGTTTGTTCAACATCAACAGAGCCCATCCACGGTCTATACTGCAACTATGCTGAGCGGACTTTAGTTATCGCTTCTGGAAGAGAGCAGAATGTGTCTACATAAAGAGAGTGCCACGTACTTAAGTTCTTAAGAAAACAGACAGAAAACCGGAGTGGAGATCCCACGGCTGTTGGTTCTCAACGCTGACAACTTTTCGGCGACTCCTACAGCAAAACCGTCCCCAAGTGTAATGCCCTGTACTTCTTTGAATTATTGTTGGTACGGCTGAGATGGGGGACCATATTGTCTAGTCAGAGCACAGCCTTCATCCTGGAAAATTCACTCCAGTTGCACCACCAAAGCGCCCGAATGTCGAACAGACTGGACGCTATATTTTCTCTCACGCAATGAACGGTCACTTACCTCTTTGAGCCCTGACCACCGCTTGTGCAGCTGTCAGTGAGAGCAAGGGCTCATTTACTAAATATTGATTGTACATGTATTTTTATTGTTTTTTCTTTTTGCCGTTTACATTGTTTTTCTCAATTTTGTCCCTTACTTTTGGACGTTCCAAATTTGAAAATAAATAAATAATTGTTATAATTCTTTTTCTATCCTTTGCAAATGATTCAAATTTTAGTATGTTATTATGGATGATAACGACTACCAGTTGTCAAAATTTCAGCTTTTCACAGTTGTTATTTCTTACAAATATTAGGTATTAAAATTTTGTCCCTTAGTTTTGGACGCTACTGTATATATATATATATATATATATATATATATATATATATATATATATATATATAATTATTTATTTAAAATATGATTCCATCTCTACATAAGAGTTCTCATGTTTCAAAATAAGAGCCGAAAACTTCAATATAATTATTTGAATTAAATTGCATTAAAGTACCAACCTTTGTTCCATCTTCAAGCGAAATTTTTTTTAATAACTAATTCTTGAAATTTACGCGTTTTATAAGCATATTCATTATTAAAATTAAAATTACTATGGTAACGGATAGAGCAATTATTTTTTTTAAAAAAAGGGTGACGTAAGGGTTAATAATTTGTATCAATATCTCAGTTACATTCACAGACATCAAGTCAGGGTAAGGCTGGGGTGTCTAAATTCAAAGCGGAAGATGACATCGTCTAGTCTGGTTAAGTGTCTATGGAGATTTTTTTATTTTATTTTTTTTTTTTTTTTTTTTTTCCTGAAAGGGTTTTGTGTGTATATATATATGGCATAATTCGCTAACATTTGTTTTTTTGATGACTTCATAAAGGTTTTTTTTTTAATTTTTTTTTATAAGTTTTGTTAAAAATGACTGGCAACGTAATGTTGTTTAGGTTTTTATTTAATTCTTCTCCATAATTTATGTCCAGAAAATAAAGCCATTATAAGAACATAATTCTTATAATTTCCTTATTTTTCTGGACATAAATTATGGAGAAATTGTCTGATATTGTGTTTGTCCGAGCACTTTCGTCGATAGTTGTAGCCGCTGTCATGGATGATTTTATTTTAATTTTAACAGAATGTATGCATTTGTTATGTATATACCTAGAGTTATAAGAATGCTTTATTTTAAATAACCGTGATTTAAAAATAAAATATTCGGACTATTTCTACATAATTTGTGAGAGATGAAGTCGCCACTAGCAGAGAGTCATTTGGCGTAACTCCATCTGTAAAGACGGTGGCCAAGAGACTTGCCGCGGCAAAGCAAAAGACGTAAGCCCAAGAAATCAACAACTGCCAGCATACTGTCTCAAGCCTATGTTAATGTTGCCTGGTCTGTTATCGACTGTACCGTGTGAACTCCGGCCTTAATAGCCATCCGAGCACGCATGGCTCAATAACATGAGTGTGACTCTGGACTAAACCACACACAAAGAAGCACACACAAACGCATTAATATATATGCACGCACACACACACACACACACACACACACACACAGATAGATAGATAGATAGATAGATAGATAGATAGATAGATAGATAGATAGATTTAAAAAGGATGAAAGCTGACCAGAGCACACTACCGCGATTTCGACCTATACAGTCTCCTCAGGTGTTTTGTTCAGCAAATCAACTACACGGAGCTCAACAACTTAAGCACTTTGAAAACCAGAAGTTGGGGGCGGCTGGAAACCCAAGCTGAACTTCTTAAAATGTCTTCATTTGGTCATGATCTTTGACCTTCCGTTCAGCAATTCATTACTGTTTTTATAAGTTGTTATAGCCAGTTCCTCTCATTGGCATAGCCTATACGTATTCTTGACTATTATGTTAAACTTTAAATTTCTTAAAATGCTTCATTTAATCCTTGAACTTTTGCTATGTTCCTCCCTAAATTTCCAATAATAGCTTGCTAGCTTCGAGCTGTACATATGCTCCGGACTCCGAAAAGATGAGGTGGGATTGAACCACCTTCTCTTGAACTCGCCCTCAGTACACCCGATGTATTTTTTGTGCTACTATATTCACCTTCCGCTTCGGTACAATATACAACCCGTTCAATACGGCATAATCTATTTAAAGAACAGTTATTTTTTGTCCTGCAATTGCATAAGGTCATATTCTCGCTTTTCAAGTCATTCAAGATCTTTAAATTTCTGCTATTCATTCTTTTTATGATGTTGCCCATGCTGCTTGTGCAGCTATAATTTAATTTGACCGTATTTCGGTTAAATAGCTTATATAGTCCGGATGTATTAGGGAAGTGCTTATCTAATATATTGAAAAACATCTCCCCTGTGTTTGTTATTACGTTAGTGTTGAAAGGCGGGTTGAACCAGATTATGTTTCTCTTTCTTTTATTATTAATAATATTATCATTCTTCGGGTTCGTCTGTTCTTTTAATTGAAGGTTAGCGTTATATCCTTCTTCTCTTAATGCCAATACGTAATTTCTTTTTTTCGTGAAATATATTTTCAGTAGAAGAATCTTGCGACAGCCTACATTGCACTCCTAACGGGATTCCTTTACTTATGCTCGTTGAGTGGTTAGAGGACATATTGATATATCTTAGAGCCGCATTCGGTTTCATAAAAGCTGAGATTATTCTGTTTGACAGGTTTAACTATTTTTTGTTGGTTTCTACAGTAATATTGAATTTCAGGTATTTGAATAATTTATGTAGTTTTTTTTTTTTGACTGAATAACTGTTTCTTTTATTTTCCATTACCACCATCAGTCCATCATCTCTGTATAATCCGTGATCATCAATATGAACAATCTTATTTACTTTATTTAATATGATTTCAACTAGCTCAGCCATTTCTGATCTGTCACACGTTCTTTGTGGAACATCAAAATTACACCAATCAGATTTTTTAAAATTATTGGGGTTATTTGAAACAGGTTAAAGTTAGAAAAAAATTGTTTTTTTCTCTCCCCACTACATCCGGTTTCGAAAGTGTTTAAGTTGATGAGGTCCGTGTACGCTGATTTGCTGAACAAACCACCTGAGGAGACCGTAGAGGTCGAAACCGCGGTATTGTGCTCTGGTCAGGTTTCATCCTTTACAAAGATTAAATATCTCTGCAAGTCTGGTCTTCCGACTTTGTATTGAGCATTTTTAATACGTTCACTTTTAACAAATATTTTACTATTTGGTTTACTCTGTATATATATATATATATATATATATATATATATATATATATATATATGTGTGTGTGTGTGTGTGTGTGTGTAGCAAAATTGTCCATATGTAACACCAAAATGTCCAATTTAAATCTTTGTAACTTAGAAATGATTAAAGATATCTTATTGGAATTATCAGAAGGTTTTACAACACCATTGGTCTATACTATGAGAAATAAGATGTATAATTACTCTCCAGGCTTAAAAGAAGAATCGTGATGAAATTGAACATAAACGAAAATGACATGTTCATCATTAATTAATCATAGCAAAGGATCGCAAGCTCATGAAGGATTGAAATAAAGTGCGTATATATATATATATATATATATATATATATATATATATATTATTCCAGGATCTTTTTCCAACTTATTCAAGATGATTTTCGTCCTCTCTAATATTCTAACTTTCTGTTCTGGAGTAACAAGTTGTCTCACAAGTTTCATGTACGATTTTATTTTCTATTGTTTTTTCTTTTTTCTTTTTACTTCATTTTGAATTGTCATAGTTGAAACTCCTTTGTCACGTGTCAAACTTCTTATGGAGTTTTTCTAATTGATCTCTCTAGATCAAAGTTGAAATGGTGATCCCTCTCCCTATTAAAACCTTCTGATGCAGTTTTTCCTCTCTACTCTTCCCACTTTTTAAAACCTATTCACCGTTCTCAAGATGCTTCTTGAATGGACTTTGAACAGGGAAGCCAAAACCTCAATGATCTTTTCCTCTCACCATTGCTCAGTTACGAAGATAGTGGGGCTGACGCAAAACGATTTTAACCTGCTCTCTTTCTAACTGAATAAATCAAAGGGTTTTTCAATAATTCTTACGACAAATAATATCAAGATTGCTAAACGTCTAATCTGAAAACCTGTAAAAAAGAAACTCAATTAGTGCAGCGTGTGTTTTTTTATATATTAAACATTCGGAGGGATTGGATAATTATTCTGTAAGACGATTTGGACAATTTTCGTGTTACACCCCGTATAATGATTCTGTTGGTTGGTTGGTTAGGTATTTATGGCCCTTTAAATCTTAAGGGTTATATAATGCCAAATCTTGTTTATACGCATATATTATGTGTATGATTGGATAAAATAACATAGGTTGCATCATATATATGTATATATACACACATATATATATATATATAGTCGTGGCTCTTGTTCCCAGGTTATCTGAATACTTGGATGAGTATCGCTGCGGAACTGAGTGAGTAGCGGCGCTATATCGAGTCTAGTTTGTGTCTTCTTCGTCACCAAGGCCCCGTGGTACAGTTGGTATGACGTTTGCGTTGTATCGAAATGCTCCGGGTAGAACCTCTTAAAAAAGTGGATGCGCACTGCTGATGAGTCTCGGGTAGAACGAAACGGCCGTCCAGTGCTTTCTGCATTCTGTGGAGGATTCTTCTAGTCATTGTTATAGGCCTAAATCCCCAAAATTAATTCCTTTATATATATATATATATATATATATATATATATATATATATATATATATATATATATATATATATATATATATATATATATGATCAAAGGTATAGATATAGGTAAGTTCACAGGCAAGTGTTCGTATACAAATATATATATATATAATATTTTATAACCGTTTTGTTTATTTTGTATGTAAGGGTTAAGAAAAATTTTCGGTTTATGTACGTAACGTCCTGTAGCCACTAACTTGTAAATATATATCATTCCGTTGCTATAGTGAGAAAAAATCCTAGACACTCTCTGGCTCGACGAAATTCACTTAAAGAGAAAGAAAAAAATTTCAAGATTCCACACTTGTAGTATTGTTAAACTTTTAAATAATTTTTTTTTTTTTATTCTAATAACATATTTTAATTAATTTCCAATATGGAATATGCTTCCAAACAATAAAATGTGCACGCATTTCTTTTCCTTTGGTAATATGAAATGAGACGTAAAACTTGAACAAAGTGGAAGTTTTGTTAGTTTAATCAGAAAGTGGGGAGAGAGAGGGAAGTGGATTTTTCGTGTCCGCCGACATCTTAGATTTGCAAGCGGGTTGAAATGAAAAGGAGGTGGCGTTAGAGAAAGCGAGAAATTTTTAAAGATATTAATTTTTCTTCAGTTAATTAATGCACTTCAGCTTTGGGAAACTTTTTTTTAAAAAAAATGCACTGACTGAAAGTTACCAAGAGGATCACACGATATTGGAAAATGAAATTCGAAGAGCTATCAAATGTACACCTCCTATGAATACAGCTTTTTTTAAGAGGTTCTTTTTCAAGATTGTCTTCTCAGTACAACTAAGGATTTCATAGTTCTCTGTATACTTTCAACAATCTTAGTCTATTCTCAAATAAGCTTGGATGTCTCATGTTTCTAGAGAACTGCCCAATTTCATTACTTAATACAAATTCTAACGACAGTAAAACCCTGATTTTTAAGAATAAATTCTTGGGTAGAATATATTCCTTAAATCCAAAAAATCATTCATTTTGTAAAGAAGAAAAACGTTCTGCAGATCACCACATTTAATCCACATTGTTTTGTTAAATCTAAGACAGTATGCAAATAACCACTCTTATTATAATGACAAAAGAACCCAGGTGTAGGCTTTAAGAAAGCTTTATTCAACTGAGAATACAAGGTTCACATATAGTGTTCTTTTATATTCCCAGTAAACAGAAATATCTCACTCAAAGAGGAGAGTAACAAAATAAGGGAGACCACTCTTGATTATTCATAATAGTTATATAAAACTGTATAAAATATATAATAAAATGATTATACATACTTTACCTTGTTCATTTTAATAGAATATTTGGAAATGTTGCTGTAGATGTAATCTGATCTCTAATCTACTTTCTACTCAAAACAAAAGCATAGAAAATTTCCAAAGCTTCATATCTAAATAATGCTATCAGTTTTGATGGGTACTATGCTAAAAGAGTTTAACAATAATACCATTTAGCAGTGATTTACAGTAAACAAGAGAGCTTATCTACACATTAAACAACCCGAAACATTGAGATAGGTGACTTTCGCACTTTTTATATCACTGCGTCTCTTTCTTTCTTTCTTTCTTTCTTTCTTTCTTTCTTTCTTACTTACTTACTTACGCAAATACACATTTGCCAAGTAGGATTTGCTATTTATAGTGAAAACTGTCTTTAGAAATAACTAAAATGTCTACCTCACTTTATAGCTAACAAGGTTGGACATGAAGCTAATAACTTAACACAAACTCCATGATCGATTTGTTCTCTCATTTATTTAACTTAGTTTGTTATGACCCATGTGAGTCACAATTGGTTCCTTAAATATGATATTTCTTTAAATCCGATAGTCCTTAAATAGGGGGATGTTAAATTAATGTGCTATTTGTTCTATTATTTCTACTTGCTTTTACCTTCTATTATTATTAATTCTTTTCCGATATCTGCTTCGAGTCTGACGATAAACTTTCACTTCAGCAGAAATTTCTTATTCTTACATGTCATGACTTAATGGTTAGCGATTCTCGTCTGACTGGGCATCACTAATAAGTTGTAGGGTCAGACCTCACTTGGGTGCCCTATGCAAAATTCGACATTAAAAAACCCAATAAATAGTAAATACGGATGCCTTGCATGGCGACATTCTCGGTCGGAAACATCGAAACTGTCAGCTGTATACAACCGCTTTCTCGGATCAATGGTGAAAATGCCTTTGAGCGAGTGAAGCCTGGAGGTCTTAGCAGGGACCATCCTTCTTTAAACGTGGTCTGGCGCTACATAACCATAAACAAAGAACTGTGCCATATGAGACAAACCACATCACATGAGCAATTTCAAGAACAGCAACAACTACAGGGTGCGATGGATAAATTGCCGTCTAAATTACGCAAAAAAGGAAAATGACCTGACATCTCATTTTAGCAGATATATTTACCAAAATTACACAAAAATATGCTGAAATACTAAAGAGTAAATTAGTTCAATAAAATCACCATTGCCTTCAACCACGTCTTCCAGACAACTATTAAAAAAGACAGAAACCGTAAACGTTTTTGGTTATTTTTTTATATATATATATATATATATATATATATATATATATATATATATATATATTTCAGCTACACTTGTTTTTCGGTCTCGTGACTTTCTTCAGGCAGAAAGGAACAAATTTTAAAAGGAATAAATTTTCCTTATGTTCTTTTAATGTCTCATTGTTTGCTTTCTCTATTAGTTTAGTGAGCCTTGAACTCCTTTCTGGACTGTTGGCAAAAGTGAATTTCTGCTTAAGTGTTATTAAAACCATTAGGTTTTGTATGAGATGCGGTGATGATAGATGTGTTGATGAGAGATGTCTTCCTATCTCTGTGTGCGTGCGTGCAACCAAATGGCACGTGTGCAACACGTGGCACGCCAAGCAATTTCCAATGGCACGCAGCCCCAGATGACATCACGAATTCCCAACCAATAATTACTAGAACGCAAAGAAGATATTTAGCTCTTTCAAAGCTGCCCACTCGTTGAACTCCTATTAATAATAAAAACTTTAAAAAAAAACTTTTAAAAACAGAAACAGTTTATTTCTATTAATCTGGTTTACATATTATTGTATATATTACTATATAAAATATATTGTAGAACAGGTATATTGACCTTGACTTGTATGAAAATACGTCTGCTGTTGGCACACTGAATGATTTTTAAACCCTAAGTCGGCACATTGTTAGTAAAAGTTTGCCGACCCCAGCATTACACAATCCGCACATCGGAGAGAAGGAAAGAGACAGAAGAAAGAAAGAAAAAAGAAAGAGAGAATAAAGAGATAAAAAAGAAAGAAAGAAAAAAGAAAGAAAGAAAAAAGAAAGAGAAGAAAGAAAGTGAGAGAAGAAAGAAAGAAAGAAAGAAAGAAAGAAAGAAAGAAAGAAAGAAAGAAAGAAAGAGAGCGAGAAGAAAGTAAGAAAGATTGGGAGAAGAAAGAAAGGAAAGCAGATAGCGAGAAGAAAGAAAGAAAAAAGAAAGAGACAGGCAGAGAGAGAGAGAGAGAAGAAAGAAAGAAAGAAAGAAAGAAAGAAAGAAAGAAAGAAAGAAAGAAAGAAAAAAGAAAGAAAGAAAGAAAGAAGAAAGAAAATAAGAGACGGACAGAGATCGAATAAAGTAAGAAAGTTTCTTTCTATTAATCTGGTTTACTGTATATATATTACTATATAAAATATATTGTAGAACAGGTATATTGACCTTGACTTGTATAAAAATACGTCTGCTGTTGGAACATTGGATGATTTTAAAACCCTAAGTCGGCACATAGCAAAAGGTTGCCGACCCCTGCTTCAGAACTTCAGACTAAATTTGTTAGTTCTGCCAGGAATGGTGAAATGTTGTAAGAGCCAGGACGCAATTTTACTGTAGATGACCTTATATATATATATATATATATATATATATATATATATATATATATATATATATATATAAATATATAATATAAACTTAAATATATTAATTATGAAATACAGTAGTGCTGTAACTGCGGACACTACCTTAAAAAATAACCTTCTATCTTGAGATACTCTCATGCCGTGTGTTAAAGCGAAATCTAATATAGAAATGCGGAAGTATCTTAGTAAACCCTACTTGTGATAAGACTCGATCACACTATTTCAGTTTGCGACTCTTCACTGTTGTTAGGCGGTCATTATGTCGCCTCGGCGATACGGTGTTGAGTTCTTCTTTACTTTAACGACCACAGAAAACAGGCGAAAGCTTCGAAACAGTTTTATGAAATTTTTCGAATGCTTATTGATTAGGTCAGCTAATTAGCTAATTGAGAAAATTATTCTTTGTGCAGAACACAAAGATAATAGCCCCGCCCAAACATTCTGCATTTCTCCTTCACTATTTTTACTGGCTGTGTACATTTGATGCGGTTATTGTTTTGGTTGTGCAAAAGCCCGGATGATAAATGGGCAAAACAAATTGAATTCATTGGCTAGGATAACCGATTCACCGCGTACGACTAGCAAAAAAAAAAAAAAAAAAAGCAACAAAACTTAAAGCTTCGTTTTGTTATATCGAAAATTGCTGTTGCAAATGTGATGAAGTAAAAAATAAATAAATAACCAGACAGAACTTTACATTTAAGTACTGTTTGAAATAACGGTAAAAATTTGTAAGACTATTGTTGCATTAAATTCCTAGAAGACTTATTGTCATGATCCTCTGAATTATTCCGGTTAATTATTCTGACTTTTGCTGTTTTAATCACAGTATATTTGTCTGCGAGCTTTGTTGTTTTCTCAGTGTGTTCTGAGTTACCGAATCAATTTATTATGACTAACCAAATACATACATACATACATATATATATATATATATATATATATATTGAATAAAAAAGATCACTTTAAGTTTCCATGTAATAAATTATTTCACCACAGCCCTTTTAAAGGGCTCTGGATCATCAGACTTTACTTCCAAAGGTTGAAATGAAAAATGAAAAGAAATTTACACATTTTTGACGGGCCGTATTAAGCATATGTAAATTAATGAAGTGAGGAACTGAGAGGGGAGAGAAGATATGAGTGAGTTAGATGTACCATTTCAATTCTTTATCCCTAACCCCACTTAGTGTGGGCCAGACGACGCTTAACTTAACGTATGTTATCTCTAGATATAGATGGGTAAGGGGTGAAGAAGAATCGACATAAAAGGAAAAAGATACAATAAAATAAATCATGAGAGAAGGTTTCACTCAATTTCTTAGACTCTGTTATTTCGCATTCCTTTAAAGGGTATATTTGGGGGTTAAAGTTTGATATAAATCTAAATGTCTAAACAATCTACGAAGAATTTAATTTGATGTTCGTTGGAGTTTTGGGTATTTTTTATGAAATAGTCGATTGGATAATATATATATATATATATATATATTATTCCAGGATCATTTTTCAACTTATTCAAGATCATCTTCGCCCTCTCTAACCTTCTAACTTTCTGTCCTGGAGTAACAAGTTACCTTACAAGTTCCACGTACGATTTCGTTTTCAAGTCTTTTTTCATTGCTCTTTGGACTGTCATGGGTGAAACTCCTCTCTCATGTGGCGCCAAACGTCTTATGAATTGAGTTGTATCTTTTCTAATTGATCTCTTTATCTCTAAGTTGAGATGATGAACCCTCTTCATGCTGTGACGACTTGATCCAGTTTTCCCTCTACTGTTCCCTCTTTTTTAAACTTATTTACCGTTCTGAAGATGGTTCTTAAAAAGACTTTGAAGCCAGGGTATAAATGTTGGTGCCATTACTGAAGGCCTGAATGGTATTTTTCCCCTCACCATTGCTCAGTTGAGAAGACAGTGAGGCTGACACAAAACGAATTATTCTGGTTAATTATTCTGATTTTCGCTGTTTTGATCACAGTATATTTGTCTGCGAGTTTGGTCGCCTTCTCTGTGTGTTCTGAGTTACCGAAATAATTAAGTATGACTAAGCAAATACCAGTTCTACGAAGCAACGAAAATTAAGTTGCCATAGAAGTCCTCTAAACTCTATAAAATTTATGTATAAACAACATTTTCAACAAGACCTGTCTTTTACAACGTACTTTTGTCATTATGTGAAATCCGATTGAAGTACTTACTACATAGTTAGAGTAAGAAAAACATGAATAATTTTCTAATAGTCATATTAATAATAATAAAAATATAATTAAGCAAACCTAATAATTTCTATTCATTTAAATAATTCTGTATATTTTTTAAAAATTTAATTATACTAATTATTTTGACTTAAGTAAATAATTCCATATTTTTTCAAAGCTAATTTGTGAAATATCAGACAATTACATTGCATATTATTATGAACGTTACAGGTTTTCTAACTTTTCTAAGTCAGATGTAAAATATTTCCATACACACACAATGGATTAAACAAAAGTTTTCACAGACGACTTGCTTACAAATGGTATTTTTTAAAATCAAATTAAATATAAATATTTGAAAATAAAATAAATACTTATTAAACTGCGTTTTTAAATATGATTATGCAAACTGAGTTTTTTTTGTTTATTTTTTTTTCATTTCACGTCAAATAAAACGCCGGTGTTTACTGAGAGTGAAAGAGAATAGGACACTTTAGTTGTGGGGTGGGGTGAGGACAATAAAAAGATAGATTTCAGGGAAACGAGGATGGTAATTTATGTTCCATTTAGATTTCTGAAGAACCTAAATGGTAAACAAGCAAGCAACCAGAAGTGAGTTTGCGGACGAGAAATGCGAAAAAAGAAACGGAATAAAACTTACGGCTCCCTCTAGCTATTTCAGCAGTAACACGATGAGACCTAACTGCCAATCTAGTAGTAGGCTTAAATACAAGTGGGTAAGTTACCAAGTAGGAGAGCTTATTAGAATAACTGCAATGGAAAATGAAGACATAGGTAATGTACTTCATACTGGCGGCAACGTGACTGAAATCGATATACCAATCAGAATCGATAACATTACAGACCCTTCTTTGTATTTTGCCGAGAATCTCTAGATGTTTTAGACGTCACTTTATTTATATATATATATATATATATATATATATATATATATATATATATATATATATATGCAGACTAATCGCGCCCAAACGCAAAGACTCCAAGGGTGGAACAAGCGGATAACGAATACAACAGATCCCAACGGTTGTACCCGCGGATGAAGAGGGCTACGCATGACAGACACGCTACGGAAGGCGCCACTCGAAATTACAACAGCGTCAGCAGCAGTCCGTTGCAGCTTCATCACTGGATTCGGCATGTCTTATTCCATATGTACCGCAGAGGAAGGTCATGAAATCAAGTGCGTGAGGTCACTTACTGGCAAAATGAATTTAACCTTAAACAAATTGACGCCATCGGCAATTTCTTCCACTTTGATTTTCTCTCCTCTTCAACCAATTCTTACAAAGCCAATCGGCCTTAGGGAATAGATGACGGAAGCAGGTTTTAGGGAAACCGGAAGCTTCTCGTCCTGAATCTGCACGTTTGGCGGCGAATTTAGCCATCGACGCCATCATTATAAAGGAAGCGATCAGTAAAGAAGAAATTACATTCTTGGATGCGAGATAAAGCCGACGACAATATATTATATTATTGCGTTACATATTTCGATTGAACTTTATGAGTTGCAATGATTTTCATGATTTTATTTTGTTCCATTCCTTCTATAAAAACACAGTGTTTCTAAAAACACTGAGGAATTAAATCCGCACGAGCCCAAAATCATTTAAACATTCCATACTACATCCTAAACGAATCTTCTACAAGAAAACAGCGTTCTTGTTTTCCCTCCCGAGTCCAGATTACGGATGATGAAGTTGCTACATTGATGACATAGATACCCATAATTGGGATGAGAATTATCTTGAACAAAAAAAAAATGGACATTCTCTACCAAGAGTTATAAGAAGTAGGACCCAAGATAAACCGTTCCAAAAAAGAAATCTGGAATTGGAATGTAACACTCTTGGAATCCAACCTAAAATTCAAAATGTGCAATTACGAATTTTTACCACAACACTTTGTCAGTCGGATATTTTGTGAAATCGATCTATACGTGACTAGTGAAAATATTTGAGATAAATTATGGAAACTGTTTTTACGATAGTTCTTGCAGGTTGATTTCAATAAATGATAAGTGTGGGTTTGTAAACAGCGACTATTACGGGTAATAATGCAAGACCATTCGATGAATCGAATCACTCACTGTGTGATTATCTAAAAGTAAATACGCGTAAATCCACCTTCATCCCTGCCGTGCGCCAACGGCTTAGTAGTAGAATCCCCGACTGACGTCAATTCAGTCGAGTTTCGATCCTAGCTAGAGGCAACCGGACGCCTAGTCACACTGATGAGCAGTGAAACAGTCTATCTGTGGATGACTATATATATATATATATATATATATATATATATATATATATATATATATATATATATATATATATATATATATATATATATATATATATATTAACACGTCAGGCCTAATATATGGAACATTCTGCCTCTGAATATCAAAGTGATAAAATCCGACCCATTTCCATGGAACACTTTTGCGTCTCTGGCTCCACTGAACTCTTTCTTAATTGAATCACATCATTTGTCACCATCCAAAGCTGAGACACATTAGGATTTAGACTATTCCACACGATGGTCAAAACTCTTAACTTTGTATCCCTCAGGATATGTTATTAGCGCGTCAGTGTTTATTTTAATCCCGATCTCTCCTATACTGTGGCAGTCTAATAGTAATTAGTAAAAAAAAAAAAAAAAAAGATTTTATTCCAAACTGATAATTTTCCACAATTGAGAAAATACTAGAAGAGTACAGAATATATTTTGGGAGAAAATTGTCTTGTAAATTTGTTGTTTTTTTTTTGTTTTTTTTTTTTCAAAGCACGCAAATACTTTTCTTACTCCATCAATATAGAATCATAGCCCTACAAATTTCAAATGATGTGGCTAATGTTGTTCTGTGGCGTCCTTCCTCTTAAGAGTCTATGTTGTACTCTTCCGTCTACTATAGGATTAGTTGGGGAGAAGGCTTCCGGGGAACAGTGAATAAATTGATCGCTAGTTAAGGTGTTGTGACCAAGTAAAAGGGTTAAGCAATAACAAAAACCAGGTTTGCAGATATATCGTATATTAAACAGTAAGTGCAACAGAAGAGTGTTACACGACTAATGAGAGTGTATCGAATGAACTAGCACTCAATCTTATCGGCTGTTGATATTTAACAGCCACCCACTACTTGGGCCTTGGGAGATCTCTCTATGAATCTATCTCTTTTCTCTGGGTTAAATGGCAGGACAGATTAGTGGAATACTTCTGCCAAATTAATCATGAATCGAAAAGGGATCTGTTCTCCCAAGCGTGTCACATCCGCCTCTATCTACAAGCATTGGGCCAGCGCAGTATGGTAATGGCAGATTCCGCCTCAAGATATGACACCACAATCTAATACCGGCCGTTACTGTTGTGAAAATAAATATTAGTACATGAACGGCGAAGATGGCGAGATCTTGGAAAGTCCTTATGTCTAACAAAGGACCCTCACAGGCTGAGAAAATGATATCACCTTGAAGATTATTAACATTATTCGGACTATTGTCCCTATCTTTGTCGCCATATTTATCACTACGTTTCGGCCGCTGTACGCTTCGGCCGTTGTTATGCTCCGGCCTTCTTCAGGTGTTTGGAATTTCGAACTGAACCCTTTATTTCTCTCACTGGGTAGACTGTTCTAGTTCCACGTGCCATGTTTGATGGATGTCAGTTATCAGTTACTTCCAGCTAATTTCCCTCTGAAAGTTCTCCACTGCGTTAACCGGGTATTGAACTCACACTCTTTGGGTCCTGTCACTGGATCTAACCAACGCCTTTATCCACTGTGCCAGGACACATGGCACAGTGGATAAAGGCGTTAAGGCAGAGGAGAACTTTCAGAGGGAAATTAGCAACCACCTGAAGAAGGCCGGAGCGTACAACGGCCGAAACGTTGTGATAAATATGGCGACAAAGATGAGGACAATAGTCCGAATAATGTAAATAATGTACATAATACCTCATCTCAGAAATATAGACACACCTTGAAGATGTATATTCCATATCTGACGCTAATCTCCATGAGAGCAATTGCGCCTTCTTGGTCCCCGTTCTCAACTGACTGGAGTGGTTATATTAAATCAATTACTAGGTCGCTTTCTGAGTTGTAACAGATAATTTTTTCTCATCAGAACCCACGTTGCACATTTATAAATCTACCATTTGTCCGGGCATTGAATATCTTCGAAGCTCACACTTTCCCAGACGATGTTTACGTTCGTTGGAAAAAAATACGATTAAAAGCAAACTTTCAATTTCACTTATGACGAAAGAACATTTATTTGCGACGTCAGCACACATACGGCAACGCAGTCCGCCTTCGGACACGTACCGACATTTGAATCAGCTTCAAGAAAATTATTTCAGCTGAATAAACACCTTGCTTTTGGCTATGTCACGTTGAAACCCCCGGTTCTCGCCCGATCACCGAAGTTATGAAAAGGCGAGCCTGGTCAGTACCGACATGAGTGACCGCTTGGGAATACCAGTCGCTGTAAACTTGAATGTGCGAGTTGTATAATGGATAATGGCTCGGGGTGATAAATCGAACATTCACTTACTTAAATATCCTTGGGCGATCATGAACTGAAACGAGACACAGCCAAACGTATCACATTCAACTAACAAAACACCAACCCAACCCCCAATAAAACACCATGAAATACATTATTATAGTAAAAATACCAGCCATACGTTTTTATATACATAAAAAATGACCAATGATTTTTTTTTAAACAAAATAACCGGAATACCTTTTATCTGTAGTTGAAGGCATGCATTTGCGTTCAAATTATTTATATTTTAATAAATTGGCTACTGTAATGGTTGTATTTTAGAATCTAACAACCACACCCATTCCCAGACGATGTTTGCATTCTTGGAAAAATACGATTAAAAGAAAACTTTCAATTTCACTTGTGACGAAAGAATATTTATTTGCGACATCAGCAAATATACAGCAACACAGTCCGCTTTCGAACACCTACCGACATTTGAATCAGCTTCAAGAAAATAATTTCAGATGAATAAATGGCCATATCACGTTGAAACCCCTGTTCTAGTCCGATCACCGAAGTTAAGAAAAGGCGAGCCTGGTCAGTACCGACATGAGTGCCCGCTTGGAAATAACAGGCACTGTAAACTTGGATGTGTGAGTGTCCCATAAGGAGTTGATATGCCGTTAAAAAAAAATCTATAAATTTTAGTTTTAGCAAATTGGCTAAGGTTATGATTGTATTTATAAATCTACCATTTGTCCAGGCAATGGATATCTTCTAAGCTCACGTCTTTCCAGATGATGTTTGCTTCAAGAAAATAATTATGTTCACACAAATATGTACATACACAAAAGCTGAGTATCATCTACCATGTATTCAGTTGTGAAAGAAGAATAACATATTTTTATTACTTCAAAGCTCCCCAAAAATGAAAATTTGGCATTAAGTGTCCCCTTAAGGAGTTGATATATAAACAAATCAACCAAACAACCATCTTAGTTGCTTCTAAGCACTTGGAAAAGTTCTATTTTTCATATTTTAGATAAAACAATTTGTACACTGGGAACTTTCTACTAGATAAATTTTAGTTTTAATAAATTGGCTACTGTTATGGTTGTATTTTAGAATCTAACAACCACACCCATTCCCAGACGATGTTTGCATTCTTGGAAAAAATACGATTAAAAGAAAACTTTCAATTTCACTTGTGACGAAAGAATATTTATTTGCGACATCGGCAAATATACAATAACACAATCCGCTTTCAAACACCTACCGACATTTGAATCAGCTTCAAGAAAATAATTTCAGATGAACGCACAGCTCACTTATGGGAAAATCACGTTCAAACAACAAAGAGGAGGACAATAGTCCGAATATAATTATTGTAAATAGTAATTTTTCAATATCGGCGAAACAAACTCTTTATATATTTTACCATATTTCAGTTACTTTTTATCTCGACTGTTCAAATCGAGATTCTGCAATCGTTAATAAAACTTGTCTTTTGGAAATAATAGCTCTTCAAGGTAGTGATTTCCTTTAATAATTGTCCTTTTTTTAAAATGAAAATGTCGTTTGATATAATTGCCGTCTTAGAGGATAAACAATTTTTACAATCGCCGAAGTTAAACACCGTCAAGCCTGGTCAGTACCCAGATGGGTGACCTATTGGGAATACAAGGTGCTGTAAACTTGAGTGAGAGAGTTGTGTAATGGATAAAGGCTCGGGATGTTAAATCGAGGAGTCGATTTCGAATTCCAGTCAGGTCGGTTACATTCACTTACTTATTTACAGTGATCATGAATCGAAACGCGACACGCCCAAGCGTATCACACCCGCCCCAACCAGCACACTTGTTAGGGTAATGGCTCATTCCTCCCCATGAATCTGGGGAAGGGGTTTTCTTTCTTCTTTTTATGTGTCATATCCTTTCAGGACGTAGGCGATCATGTCTCTCCACCATCCTCTATCCCTTGTAACTCTCAACAAGTTCCTTCCCTCTGCTTCCTCCCCCAGACCACGTTCTGTCATCCACTTGCTTAAGTTCGCCAGGTATGTCCCGCGTTGTTTTCTCATGCCTCTCTTTCCCTCTATTCGACCCGTGAGTATCAGATTCTCCAGGCCCTCCTCCTTGATTATGTTTCCCAGAAACTTCAGCTCCCTTTTCCTGATATTATATATAAGCCTCCTCCTCGTTTGCAACCTATCTAAAATCTCATCGTTGCTCACACGCTCGGTTCATGATATCCTTAGCATCCTTCTGTAGAACCACATCTCTGTCGCCTCGAGTCTCTTCTTCATCCTTGAGGAAATCGTCCAACATTGGCTGCCGTAAAGAAGGACGGATGTCACGTAATTGTTCAGTATTCTGTTTCTTTGTTACCAAAGATATCCTCCTCTCTAGCAGTACTCTGCCCAGCTTTTGGAATGTGTTGTTGGCCATCCCAATACGCTTACAGATCACAGTGTCGCACTTCCTCTGTCAAGACGCTTTTCAGGTATCTAAACTGCCGCGTTTGCTTGATTCTAGTGTTCACGACCTTCAGATCGCATTTCGGGCTCATCCTCTTACTGGCGACCATGTACTTTGTCTTCTTGTAGTTTATACTACATACCAAAAAGAGCCTTCACTGGCTGACGATATATTATCTTAAATGTATTCCAACACCTCACGTTATTGTCCTGCCTGTGTCTCTGCTTTACATAAGGCTACACATAGTGATATGATTCAGTGTGAAAATTACAGTAAAAACAAAGACGTACAAGTAATTTCGTTTGTTCAAACTGTAAAACGCGAGACATCCATCATTTCCGCTTTCGACTTTTCTCTCTTATCCCCAAACCGCTAGTCGCTTTTTCCTTCTTTTTTTTAATTTTACATTGTTCTCATGCCTTTCGTTATACACGATTTCACTTTTTTTTAAAGAATCCCTTATCACACATTTTTTTCAAATGAAGCTTCGTTCGTGCTTTCTAAAAATGCACCAGATCAATCTGACAACATTTTTATAAATAAGGATCGCATCATTCAGTTGATTCTAGTAGTTTAATGCTTATATTAAGTGTTTTAGCGAAGAGAATTCGCCATTAATTGCATTAATATTGCTAATTGATTCAATGTATAATTATCTCTTTATAATATAAAATATATGCTGCCTAATATATATATATTCAGCAATTAATGGACATTTTAAAAGTCACAATATATAAACAAGATTTGCTGAATTCAGTCAGCATCATGTGTTTATGTAATGTTTTATTTTAGTTTCCTAATTTCTGAATAACTTATTGTACATACAAAAGAAACTTTAATATTGTCAACAGTTCATGTTTTTTTGTTTTGTTTTATTTAACTGAAGGCCATCTCAGGCATTATGAAGGACGGAATTTTATCAATGTGGTCGACAAGACAATGGAATTTGTAAGGAATGATAGAGAACGCAACAATTAAAGTTCAGTTTAAATATGAGGCTTTTAATTTACACGTGACCGTCTCTGCGACGCTAGGCGAATATTTGAATTGTGAAACGTACCTGTTCTTTACTGCCTTTAAATTTTCTCAGGGTTTAGATAAGATGCTGTTGACGTGTATGTTGTTTTATGCTTACATGTATGTACGTACGAATGTCCGTACATACATGTAAGCATATATCCATGTACATGGAACTTGAAAGAAACAACGAAAAAAAGAAATATTGAGAGGCAAGAAAAACTGAAAATGCAAGCTAAAAAAATTGAAGAAAGAAAGAAAGAGAGAAAAAGAAAGAAAAAGAATGAGAAAGAAAGTGAAAGAAAGAAAGAAAGAAAGGAAAGAAAGAAAGAAAGAAAGAAAGGGTGTCAAGAAAATTGAAAATGCATGCTAAAGATTAAAGAAAGAAAGAAAGAAAGAGAGAAAGAGAAAGAAAAAGCAAGAGAAAGAAAAAGAAAGAAAGTGAAAGAAAGAAAGAAAGAAAAAGAAAGAAAAAGAAAGAAAGAAAGACAAAGAAAGAAAAAAAGAAAGAAAGAAAAGAAAGAAAGAAAAGAAAGAAAAAAAAAAAAAAAGAAAAGAAAGAAGAAGAAAGAAAGAAAGTAAAAGAAAGAAAGAAAAAAAAAGAAAGAAGAAAGAAAAGAAAGAAAGAAAAGAAAGAAAGAAAAGAAAGAAAAAAAAGAAAGAAAGAAAAAAGAAAAGAAAGAAAGAAAGAAAAAGAAAGAAAAGAAAGAAAAAAAAAAAAAAAGAAAGAAAGAAAGAAAGAAAGAAAAGAAAGAAAAGAAAGAAAGAAAAAAAGAAAAAAAGAAAGAAAAAAAGAAAAGAAAAAAGAAAAGAAAGAAAGAAAAAGAAAGAAAGAAAGAAAAAGAAAGAAAAGAAAAAGAAAGAAAAAGAAAGAAAGAAAAAGAAAGAAGAAGAAAGAAAGAAAGTAAAAGAAAGAAAGAAAGAAAGAAAGAAAGTAAAAGAAAGAAAAAGAAAGAAAGAAAAAGAAAGAAAGAAAAAGAAAGGGTCTCAAGAAAAATTGAAAATGCATGCTAAATAAAAAAAAACGGAAAAGAAAGATAGTTTGGGTGGCAAGGAAAACTTAAAATACATGCGAAAGAAAAAAAATAATGATTGACTTGCAATAAAAACTGGGAATGCATGCTAAAGAAAGAAAGAGAGGATTGAAGAAGAAAGAAAGAAAAACTAAAAAATTGAGTGGCAATTAAAACTGAAACTGCATGCTAAATAAATAAAGAGAGAAAGAAAGTGAAACAGGTTGACATGAAACACTTAAAGGGAAAAGGAAGAAAGAAAGAAAGAAAGAAAGAAAGAAAGAAAGAAAGAAAGAAAGAAAGAAAGAACGAACGAAGCGTCATCTGAAAAATGTGTGATAAGGAATTCTTAAAAAAAAGTGAAATCGTGTATAACGAAAGGCATGAGAACGATGTAAAAGTAAAAAAAAAAGAAGGAAAAAGCGACTAGCGGTTTGGGGATAAGAGAGAAAAAGTCGAAAAAAGAAACTAAACAGAAGAAACAGATCAATTGTAAAAAAGAAAAAAATAGCGAGAAAAAAGAAAAATAGAAATAAATCAAGAAATTGAGGGGCGGAGGTTAAAGAATCGGTCTCTAAAGGAAAAAAAAGTAACAACTCCAAAGACAAATAAGCGTGTGTCATAACAATAAAGCCGCGGAAATTCTTCCTGAAAATAATCTTGAAAAATCCGCACTAAATCCATTCTTTAGCTTTGATCAATCTTATTGCTTTCCTGAACGATTCTCTCGACTTTTGTTCGTACAACACTCGACTAAATCTGCTTCTTTTATTTTCAACCGATCCCAAAACTGAAATGTTACCTTCCTATTCATATTAATTGTTCCTGAGAAAGGAAAAAAAAATCTTCCATTCAAATCAAGATGGTACTTTTTTCCCGGAAATAATTATGCCAATATGTCTTTTATCAAGTCACCGAGTTTTTATATCATACAATTCGTGCACTTTGCACAAAAGCCAGCTCACTTAAATGCAGCATATATTAACGGAAGATAAATATCAAATACTTTTATGTCAGGTTGGTTCGCATTCGGCACATTTCACCACTGGTAATTCAAAATTGGCTTATGTTAATCTACGACGGAATACAGAATTCGTGGTTTGGATTTCGGATAAAAAAAAAAGCTATTATTTAA